CGTCGCCGAGTCCTGCTGCGTTTCCGCCACACACTGCCTCTTCCGGGCCCCGGGCCCCGCCCCACCCGATGCTCAGATTTTAGCAGCTGGCACGAGTTGGTTTACCGCGGGGACCACGTTGTAGATCCGAAAGGCTCGCTTAGACATTCATATGTCCATCGAGGCAGGCAGCATTCAGGGATCTGGCCTCTGTACTTCCTCCCGCTAGACTCATCCGGAGGTCCTCTTAGGAAGCAGCCTGGGAGGGTTGAATTAAGGAAGGAGCTAGAATAGAGTCGTTGGGTACAGGTTCATCTTCTAAAAGAAAATGTTTCAAATGTGCGCTTTTGAAGTCAGTCTGGGAAACACTAAAGAGAAGTGTTTCTGAGGCGTTGTATCTGATGGAAGGGAATGGGAACCGATCAGGTTCACATTTGTTCATTCCTCTAAGAAGGCTGGCAGATTTTGTCTGTCTAAAGTAGTGGTCTTATAGGAGTCCCACCAAATATTAAAAGGAAGAAACTTACTGCAATCTGAAAGGTCAGTAGTTCAAAACCACCAGCGACTCTGAGAAAGATGGGGCTTTCTACTCTCCATAAGGAGTTAGTCTTGGCCTTAAAATCTGCGGTGACTGACGTGGCAAAGCTTCCCTCTGCTTATCCCTGTAGCCCTCATCGAACAAGCAAGAGTCACAAAAGGAAAATATTTATTTTTATTTTTGGATGTCTTTTAGAAAACAAAAACCAAAAGGCTCGAAATCCAATAAAAAGTTAAATATAAATGTTAGAACTCAGTGTTCATTTTAGAATTTTATACAGAATTGGTTTTGTGTGGGGTTTGAGTGTATGTGCTATGGCAATAGCAAGCTCTGGTTCCAGTGGAGAAGAGTTAAAGATATATTATTAAAGGAGACCTATAGCAGTCAAAGATTTTATTGAGTTAATGAAAAATAAAGGAAATGAATTAAATTTTTTTTCCTAATGTAATTCTGCATTATGCTCACATGAAAATCATGATTCTAGTGGAATGTAAAATCAGTTGTTTCACCCTTAAGCTGGGACTATTTTTTATAATAAATAATATAGGTATCAGATTACCTCCCTGCTTTCTGTTGAAATTTTTTTATTAAATTGATAAAACTTTGTTTCCATGTATTCATGTTGTTATTCATAACATTAAAGTGTTCATTAAAATAAAAAAAATGGTCTTGGCAGTGTACAATTCTTGATATGATTGTATTATCAAAATGTATGACATGTGGATGTAATGCTAATAAAACTGTTACCAAAAAAACGTGATCAAGTGGAAAAAAGAAGAGGAGTTAGTTGGTTCTGAAAACTCGCTGGGGCAGTTCTACCCTGTCCTACAGGATTGCTGAGTTAGCATGGGCTCGATGCCAGTTGGTTTGGTGACATAGTGGGTTCCCATTTGGCTGTTACTGCAAGAGTCACTGTTTGAATCCACCAATCACTCATTAGGAGAAAGGTGTAAAGCCTCAGAAACCCTTAATAGGGTTTGAATCAGCTGGAAACAGTAGGATTGGTGGTTTGAGAGAGATGAAGCTCATGAAATCAAGGACGGCTTCTTAGAAGTGGCACCTGGGGTGTACAGGATGATTGTTAGCTTAAAGGGGTAGTAGACTGGCACAGGGTGGCACCCACACAGGGGCCACACATGAGCCAAGCAGAGAGACCAGGCTTCATGGAGGCTTCAAGGACCAGAGGTGGGCTTGGGCAGCTGGCAGGGTTTTATTGAGCAGCAGTGGTGGTAAGGCAGTTAGTTGGGTTGGGTAGTTAGGGCTACATAGGGAATGCCAGAAGCTCAGAGGAAAAACTGGGGTTGTGCAACTTTTTAAAGAGGATCACAGCACTCGTTTGTTAATATCAAGTATATTACAGTAATGGCTGGTTTGTGTAGTGGCTACACTTGGGTTAACCTTGAGGTCAGCAGTTTGAAACTACCAGCTGTGTGGGAGAAAGCTGAGGCTTTTACTCCTGTAGTTTCAGAAACCCGAGTGCCCCACAGGGTTGCTATGAGCTGAGATCAATTCAATTGCAGTTATTAGTCATAAAACTGGCTTGTTTTTACTTGGCAGTACCTCAGAATGACTCAAGTCCTTTTGAAAACCCATTTTCAGACGAACTGGAGCATCTTCCCGTTATATCTAGGGCATGGAGGAATATCCAAAGGCTGTGCCTCATAATCAAGTGGTTCAACAGTCTCTGTCCTCTTGGATTTGTATTTTAATCAGGGGAGATA